GCTGGAGTGCAGGGTCATGATCAAAGCTCCCTGTAACCGAACTCCTGGACTCAAGCAATCCTCCAGCCTCAGCCTTTCGTGTAGCTGGGACTCCAGGTGGATGCCACCTGGCCTGGCTAATTTTATTTCTTTTATAGATACAGAAGCTCCGTACGTTGCCCAGGCTGGTCTTGAATTCCTGGCCTCAAGCAATTCTTCCACACTGGTCTCCCAAAGCAATGCGATTACAGGCGAGTTTGTCTTTATGTGTTTCAGCAACTAACTACCAAAGGAATGACAGAATTAAAATATCACCATTTTTCAATTCCTAATGAATAAATAGATCCAAACATTGACTATCAATGGATGCTAACATCACTAGAAGAGTGAAACATAATGTGCTTCTGGCCACACATGCCAGAACTACTTATGAAATACAATTGCTGAAAAAGCAAACGGAATTTTAACAAGTCTCTCTAAATCAGCACTGTCCAATAGAAATATGATGCAAGTCACATATGTAGTTTTAAATGTTCTAGTGGCAACATTCAAAGCAACTAAAAAGAAATATATGAAATTAATTTTAATAATTATTTAACTCAATATATCATGATATCAACATGAAATCAACATGAATTAATTAGTAATTAGATAGTTTACATTCCATTGAAACCTGATGTGTATTTTACGCTTACAGCCATCTCTATTTGGACTGGTCACATTTCAAGTTTTCAATAAACACATGGGGCTAGTGGCCACCACATAGGACAGTGCAGCTCTAGACAAAACCATCAACGTGCAGGAAATACAAAAGACAAAGAAACACGTTAGACACGCCACAGAGAAGCAAATAGCCATAGCAAACCATGGGACTCTCTACAAGACAATTTTATTTCTTTAACAAATAAATTACAAGTGGGAAAAAGGAGATGGACGGGGAAATTCTACATGAGAAGAGGTTTAAGATGCATATAATCAAATCACGACCTGTGGACCCTGATTCAGACAAACTAAAACAAATGTATGGCATTTATGACACAAATGGAAATTTGAACAATGGCTGGGTATTTTGTGATAGTAATTATTTAATTATTCAGGTGTGATGATAGTCTTGCAGTTCTATTTGTTTTAAATGAGTTGTTACCTTTTAAAGATATGTACTAAAGTATTATGGATGAAATTATACAGTGTTTTAGATTGATTTCAAAATTATTAGGGGCTTTCCATTTCTGTTAAATATCCAGAAAAGGCATATTCATACAGACAGAAAGCAGATTGGATTTTTGTGTTTGTTTTGGGACAGGATCTCCCTCTGTTGCCTGGGCTGAAGTGCACTGGTGATATCATGGCTCACTGCAGCCTCGAAATCCTGGGTTCAAGTGATCCTCCCGCCTCAGCTTTCCAAGTAGCTGGAACTATAAGCGTGTACCACCATGCCTGGCTAATTATTGTAAAAAAAAATTCGTAGAGACAAGGCCTTGCTATGTTGCCCAGGCTGATCTCAAACTCCTGGACTCAAGTGCTCCTCCTGCCTTGGCCTCCCAAAGTACTAGGATTACAGGTGTGAGCCAGCATGCTGGGCCTGAAATCAGATTGTTACCAGGTCTGGGAGGAATGGGGAGTGGGGAGTGACTGCTCAGTGGGTATACGGTTTCCTTCCGGAGTAATGAAATGTTCTAGAATTAGATAGTGGTGATGGTTGCACGAAATGGTGAATTACTAAATGTCACTTAATTGTACACTGGTGAAATGTTGAAAATGGTTAATTTTACATTAGATGACTGTCAACACTATAGAAAATTGTTTAAATGATATGATTGAAAGATAAAAGCTATGGGGCAGGGGAGAACACGTGGGTTATAGACAAAACATTGAGTTAAGCTGAAGGTGGGTGATAGATGTATGTGGGTTCATTCTACTATTCTCTTCATTTCTGTATATATCTAAAATTTCCAATAGTAAAAAAATTAAAAATAAAATCTGTTAACCATGAGGGAAACTTGAATATGGACTGAGTATTCAATTATGTTAAGGGACATTGTTTTTGAAGTGTAATAATGTCATAGTGTTTATGAAAAAGAAACCCTTGGCCGGGCACTGCCAGTGGCTCACGCCTGTAATCCCAGCACGGGTAGATCATGAGTTCAGGAGATCATGACCATCCTGGCCAACATGGTTAAACCTCGTCTCTACTAAAAATACAAAAAAATTAGTGGGCGTGGCAATGTGTGCCTGTAGTCCCAGGTACTAGGGAGGCTGAGGCAGGAGAATTGCTTGAACCCAGGAGGCAGAGGCCACTGCACTCCAGCCGGGGCGACAGAGTAAGGCTCCATCTCAAAAAAGAAAAAAGAAAAGAAAAAGAAACCCTTACCATCTACCAATGCTTTCTGTATTATTTATGGGTGAAATGACATGATATCTGGAATTTGCATTAAAATACTCAAGCACAAAAGAAAAAAGCAGGGAGGGGATAGTTTGAAAGATGATTTTGAAAGTGCTGACCACTGTTTTAGCTGAGTGATAAGTACAAAGAGGAGTATTTTATCAATCTCTCAAATTTTTATGTCTCAAATTTTTGTAATAAAATATTTTTAAAATACATCAACCCTTATCAGCAACCCTTTTGCAGCCCCATTTGTTCATTCCAATATGTAAGCCCTCACAGCAACTCTGGTATCTAAGTGGTTTTTAATGTTAACATTAAACAGAAATTTGAAACAAAATAACAATATTGAGGCATGCCTTTCTCTTTGAAAATCGTGAAATATCTGGCAACTGGTCCAATTGTTTTGTTGTTTTAGAATGAGACTGCATGAGACAGTTCAGCACATCTGGATGACAATGGCTGCTTTCCTTTCGCACGGGAAGAAATAGAAGTGCATGTTCATTTTGAAGAGGATGTTTATTTCACATGTGATGTATTATCTTCATGAGACTCCACTCTTTAACTAAAATGGGTGTTAGGAACAGGATTACTGCAAATAAACTGGATTTTTTAAAGCTTCAGAACCTCTTGGAGGAATACGTGTTTATAAACAGTTTCTATATTATTACACATGCCAATTAGGTAACTATGAAAAGAAGAACACTCGATTAAAGCATTAAAAAGTTGATCACCTCTGTAATCATTTCCATTTTAGAAATAGAGTACTGTACTTGCATTGACAGAAAAAGGCTTTAATGCACAATAAGGCTTTAATCCAAGGCCTGTGCAATAGAAAACTTGGAAACATTTTGTAGTTCACAAAACTCATCCTCAATTTTGACTGAAACCAGCTGTTTCATTTAAGCCAACGGAGATTAAAAAAAAGTAAATAGATCCCGCCGCCCAAGATGCCGAAAGGAAAGAAGGCCAAGGGGAAGAAGGTGGCTCCAGCCCCTGCTGTCGTTAAGAAGCAGGAGGCCAAGAAAGTGGTGAATCCACTATTTGAGAAAAGGCCTAAAAATTTTGGCATTGGACAAGATATCCAGCCCAAAAGAGACCTCACCCGCTTTGTGAAATGGCCCCGCTATATCAGGTTGCAGCGGCAGAGAGCCATCCTCTATAAGTGGCTGAAAGTGCCTCCTGCAATTAACCAATTCACCCAAGCCCTGGACCGCCAAACAGCTACCCAGCTGCTTAAGCTGGCCC